CCACAGCAGCTCAATCTGAAATCTGACCAAAGGATGTTTGATTTCGTCGAGCTAGCATGAGCGAGACTCCGAGTCTCTGAACTGCCAAACCCGATAGTCACACTCTACGTCCGTGCATTTATTCACAAACATCTGACTCTGTCAAGCCCTTGCGCCCTGAGACAGTCGCACTCGCAGGCAGACCCGATTTTAAATCCCCACTCCTGACTTGACCCTAACCTTGAACCCTGTTTTTTTCATTTCCGGTCTGGTGTTCAGTCCATCACCCGACCGCTCCACCTAACTCTGAATGAACTTGACACCTTGACCTCATTATCCGACCTAGCCCTGCCCCCGACTGGCCAGCAGGCCTGGTCCCGACCCCGGCCGTCCACGCTCTACGGGGCGCGCCATCGGGCCAATCAGTGCAATCAGCGCCCGTCATTGGTCGGAAGTCACGCCCCGGGCCCGGCGCGGTCTGTATTTCGGGCGGCGGAGTCTGCCGCCGCCTGCGGCAAATCGAGTTACGCCTGGGCTCGAGACGGCGCAGAGCCCGTGGTCCGATATGCAGCAGGGCCGAGCAGAGCCGAGGTGACCCTCCGCTGCTCGCCGCCCGTCGCCGCGCCTTGCTTAACTGGGCACGGCCCGCCCGATTCGTTACCGGCACGCGCGGCTGTTGGGAGCATCGGAGTAACAGCTTCGATGCCGATCACGTGACAATTCGTGTTCACTATTTTTGAACCCCCTCCCCCCCTTCCCCGAGAGCGTGTTCACACCTTGTAAGGTGTTTGTCGGAATGAAGGACAACGCAGTGTTGGAATTTTCTCAATGATTAGCATTTACCTAAACCGAGAACTTATGGATAAATCAGTGGTCTTAAATGCGCTTAATAACTAAAAGGCTTATGTAAAATGTTAACCAAGGAGACTTCATGTCTGTTCCATAAAAAGTGTTGGCGATTAATGAGGGTTCCAGCCAGTGATTGAAGTGAGATGGTCTTAGAAGTCAGAGCTCGTTGCACAATTAAACATCATTTAATGTCGCATATGTCGCATCATATGTTTTGCTACATCGAGCCAATGCTAGAAAAGACCATATGGGGTTTCATTGCAGCCTCCAGAAATGCGTGCTGGCCAGACAAATTAGTCGTATGCACAATTCAAGGGTGCCTGTAACTATCACTATTAAAGCAGCAGTCCTTGGAAATTGGAAATGCTTGAGTCACTGACCAATGTTAATGTTGGCACACGCTGCATTAAATTGCACGTTACGCCAGACAAATTTTGGTGAGCAGGTGTTCTGGAATCTTGGTCAGCCTTAAGGCATCTTGTTATTATACCTCGAGGCTGGCCTGTCAGACAGAACTTGTTCTTTTGTTGTACTCACCTTCCTATTAGTCAGTTCACATCATCTTTCAGTTTTCGGTCCAGGTTTTCTGAAGTTTGGCGAAAACACGCATGTCAGCAGTATTCATCTCAAAGGAAGGCTCTTAACATATTTCCTACAAGACGGTTCTTAACTCAGGTGGCACGCTCGCACATGGATGACACAGTCGACACCACTCGAGCGGTCGCCATAAGCGCCCACACTTGCTGCCGTGTCCCGGACCCCACCAGTGGGTGTGGCGGTCCTGTGGCCTCCCGCACCGGCTGCTGGGAGCGCCACCATCCATCAGGCACCAGCACCCCGCGGCGTCGGACCCTGCATGATGTACAGCCTCTGGCAGCGGGTGTAAATCGGCCGGCAACAGGGCGAGCCGCGTCGCGGGAGGTCGGCCAGCCGCCGCCGGGGACACCTGCGACCTCGGGTCACTGCCGACAAACAAACTCCGTCGCATGCCTGCGGCCCCGCGAGTATGTCAGGAGCAGCATACTCAGCCGGCGTGGCAATTCGGTTATGCATGCTGAATGCCGCGGACATGACGCCAGTCGTTTGTGTCACAGGAAGCTGGAATGTCGCCACGGCCGATGTGACCCAGCCAGCGGCTGCGTCTGCGACACCTGCTGGACGGGCGAGACTTGCGACGAATACGGTAGGCATGCGGCGCTTTAAGCCATAGCACTGGACAACCGACACCCTTGCAGGACTCATTGATCAGCGTCACAATGTGCACACGTGCGTGCGCTTGTACGCTCGAACGGGCGTGGATGGGGGATTTTGTTTAATCGTTACAGTACTCATATTACAAGATCCAGGGCGACGCTGTTCGTGACAAGCATTAACTTGTTTTTGCGAAAAGTTTAAGTTTGCCTTCCCATCGCCGTCTTAGACTAACTTATGCGGATCCCAGAAAGTTTGAGGAGCGGAAAAGAACAGAAGTAAACTGCATCAATTAACGGGAAAGCTGCGACGACAGACGCGTGGACGGCTGAGTGTTTTTGCGCGACATATAAGGGCGCCGAGTCGCTCGGCTTGGGTCTCGCACCCGGCTATTGGACATTGAAGCGCAGACAGAGGGCTTCGTGGCCACCATGAACGCGGACAGACGCGGTCTTTGGTCACGTCATATATTTGTCTGCAGGTTTGGACGACTGATAAGAGCTCATAATAGGAATGGGGGAGAGGAGCTCAGTGAGAGTGCATAACACAGTTTTTTACCTTTCTGTCCGGAGCCACTTACGACGAAAATGGAAAAATGTAGACTTACCGGGGAAAGGCTATCTGCAGCTGTGATGGAGACCGTTCAACGGTAGACATAACAGTGTCCGCTGGGCGGGCCCTCTGCCCTCTGATAGACGTACCAGTGTCCGCTGGGCAGGCCCTCTGATAGACGTACCAGTGTCCGCTGGGCAGGCCCTCTGATGGACTGTACCAGTGTCCGCTGGGCAGGCCCTCTGATGGACGTACCAGGGTCCGCTGGGCAGGCCCTCTGATTTATTCATTCATGGCTATGATGGGCACAAGGGTTCATAAAATGTTATGATCTATTATCATTTGCACGGTAAGATGAAGCCCCTCGGTGACACTACGGCCTTGAAAGCAGCGAGTTTTTTTTTCCATCCGCTGACTATTCAGACGCCTCTGTCTGTTTCAGTTGACAAGTTTGGACCTGCGTTCCCTGCTCGTGATGTTTACCATCAAGTGGAGGACACCTTTGACGGTAAGTGGACGCGAAGCACGATATGTGCGGGAAGGGACGCAAACAGCAGAAAGACACTTTTACGTGAAAATGGTGTAAATGTCACTGAACACTACAAATAAGGACTATGCGAAAAGACAGGACAAGTAAAACAGAACCATGACAGCGGGTCACTGTTGCGCCTGTCCACCTCATAACAGCAGCAGACCTGTGCGCCGACCTGATATGTTCTTAGGCCTTAGGCCCCAGCCTCAAACCAGCGGCACCGAACTGAACCCCGCTTATCCTGAGGTTTGTCGTTCCTGCCGCTGACCTGCGACACCCTCTGGGCTGTTCTCGGGTCTGCCGTACCAGCTGCTGGTCCGTAACGCCATCTGGGGTGTTCTTCAGGTCTGCGGTACCAGCTGCAGGCCAGCGACGCCGACCTGGGCTCCACGTGTCCGCTGGGCGTGTCAGGTCCGCCGGCGCGCTGCCCCTGCGCCGTGGTGCAGTACCGGCTGGTGACGTCCGAGCTGCCCGAGGACGCCGTCCGGCTGGAGCCGGAGACGGGCCTGGTGACGGTCACTGACCTCAGCCGACTCCACCCCGGCAAACGCTACCGCCTGCAGGTGGAGGCGCACGGTGAGCGTGGTGCCGTGATGCGAGTCACCCCAGCGGCAGCGCCGTGTTGTATATCTCGCCCCACCCCAGTGGTAGCGCTGTGATGCAGATTTCACCTCACCCTAGCGGTAACGCCGTGTGGCACATCTTGTCTCACCCCAGCGGCAGCGCCGCTCCGCACTGTACTGCTGGTCGTCAGTCTGCCGGTATCTCTGGCTGGCCAAGTGCATTAGAAATTATGCGCCGATTTGGTTTATGTAATTCTTTCATTCTTGCAAAGAACATTTACGCACGTGCTGCAAAATTCGAGTAGATATAAACTTAACAGAGGATACGAAATCATAAGAGAGGGTGTTATGAAAGCCAGCCCTTCATTCTCAAATGGCCATAATCGACGACAATGCCTTTTTATCTATGTTTCTCTTGATCGCCAACGCCACCGCAGCTTCATCCGGATTGCAACCTTTCTCAGTGATTTGCTATCGCTGTATTTCCCCATACCAATCGCCTCGAGCGCATCACTTACGTGTTATTTTAGCACGCTCCAGGGCAGGGCCATTAGCCAGAGTGGAATCCCCTACCTGGATGATCAGTTGTACCAGCAGGCAGTGCTCCGGCTGGCAAGCAGCCGTGAACAAGGCTAACCGGCAAACCCCGGATATGTGTCGCCAGCCGAGCCTCCAGTGGACGCTGACGTCACACCACGACGTGACGTCATGAACCTGACGCTGTTCCGCGCTGTGGACGTGGATTCCGGAACTGCGAGAAGCACTGGAGGAAGCCGAGAACATCGAGACTGGCGCTGCGAACGCCATCTATCCGCCCCCGACCGAGCTAGAGGAGTTGACGCGCGCCAAGCGAGATGTGAGATCGTTGGTCAACGCGGCCGGGATCTTCAAAAATTGCTGTAATACTCTGCCTTCATTCAGATTCTTTTGTCGGCATGGTTTGCATGCATGGACTTAGTCTGCCATGCGCAAGTGTACCATGCCTCGGCCAAGGTCTGTCATGATCAGACCGATGTATGCCACGCGCCGACTACAGCCTGTCAGTCATCGGCCAGAATATGCCATGCCTCGGCCAAGGTCTGTCACGCTCAGACCGATGTATGCCACGCGCTGTTCACGGTCGGTCAGGGTGTGCCATGCTTCGGCCTAGCTCTGTCATGCTCAGACCGAGGTCTGTCATGTGCTGGCTACTCTGTCTGTCAGGCATCGGCCAGGGTGTGCCATGCTTCGGCCTAGCTCTGTCATGCTCAGACCGAGGTCTGTCATGTGCTGGCTACTCTGTCTGTCAGGCATCGGTCAGGGTGTGCCATGCTTCGGCCGAGCTCTGTCATGCTCAGACCGAGGTCTGTCATGTGCCGGCTACTCTGTCTGTCAGGCATCGGCCAGGGTGTGCCATGCTTCGATCGGGCTGTCACACACGGGCCGAGGTCTGTCAGACGGTACTCGTCCCACCCACGCCGGCGCCGGGACCGACCATGTCTCATCCTCTGCAGTCAGCAGGCGCCTCGGCCGAATCCACGGCGATGGAGCTGGTACGGCTTACTCCAACTGGTGACATAACACCCAAGATTGGCAACTTGATCACCTACAGGTTCGACATCACGCTTCCGACCATCAGTGATATGGACATGAAGGTGGAGATCTTCGTAGCCGATCTGGACTCAGGTCAGCCTCACGTCTGGACGGCTGTCTTGCGGCGGCCTTCAGTCTCTGGTAGCTGACGTGATGCAACCGTTTTCCAGTTTGCAGCCGAAGTCGCTTCTGTTCGCTGTTGAGGCCGGTGCTGCGTGGCGCTAGAGCCGTGCGGGAGACATTTGACGACCGAGGGTGTCCTCTGTCACACACATTGGGATGCGATCGCCCCAATGGCATGCGATTGTGAGATGGAGAACGACGGAGGCGGACAAGCCGACAAGTAAGCTCAGAAGTCCATCGCAAAGACAAGTGCGGGATGTGAACGCGGTGTTTGACCCGCAGGTCACACGGTGTTCGAAATCGTCACGGCCGCGGTGACGCATCAGGGCTCAGGAGTTACCAGCAGTGCCGGCGCGCTCGGGAGTATCGAACCAACATCATATCATAACACCATCACTCCGACTGCGGTAAGTGTGTGCTGGCACCACTTGACCAAGACTGCTGTAAGTGCGTGCTGGCAGCACTTGACCACGACGTTCTGATGAACAATGGCTCTGAGTGAGCTTGGGGTATTTGAAGTACTTGCAGTCTATTCCAGTTCAATATCAATGAATGCGACGGACAGATGTGTTGCGTTGGGCCAATAAAGGTGACTAGTTGGTTACCACAAGCGTGACGTCCGACTTGTGCGAACCCCCCCCCCCAAATGGAAAATATATGCAAGTCACTAAAATGTATGCACAAAAATGTTCAAAGTCGCGTTGTCGAGGGACCAAGCTACAGCTGCGTTTCAAACAGCTATATCTATGCATCGCTGATGGCATCCAACAATGATTCTAACTCTATCAAATGTAACATAGAACAGCATGCTCCGGGCGTTTTGCATCTTTCATGAATCATCCCAATGCATTACGTCAAGGTGTCAACGATGCGCACGTGTATGGCCCGTGCGTCTGCAGCTCTACATGACATGTGCATCTCCACCTTCGTATGCTGACCTTCCGCAGCGAGACAGAGTGGTGCTAGATCTCGGCTCGTTGACCAACACGGATCAGCCGGCAAGCGGCTCCGCGGGCGCCAGCTTGATCAGCATCTCCTTCGGCGTCCTGGTCATCCACAACACGCAGGTGACGCAAGGCTCCAATCAGTACGTCAGCGCCGGAGCGGAGTACAACACGGCCAACTACGTGCAGGTGTCACAGGAGCAGTTCACGCCGGACTCCACCACCACCGATATTGTGAGTGGCCCGGATCACCTGGCCTCGGTAGCAGGGGTGCCCGGCCGAGCGAGGGGAAGCACCGGCACGGACTGGGGCAGCTACCCGGCCAAACCCTGACCTCGGTAGCAGGGCTGCCCGGCCGAGCGAGGGGAAGCACCGGCACGGACTGGGGCAGCTACCCGGCCGAGCTAATGCAGGCGCCCGATCAGGAGAGGGGGATGGCACCATCGCAGTGTGGGGCAGGACCGGCTCAGGTGTTCAGCTGCCCGTGTGTGAGCTGCGCCGGTGCACGCGCTGCGAGCTGCGCCCAAGCGTGAGCTGTAAACTGCGCTGGTGCGTGATCTGTGAGCTGCGCCCAAGCGTGAGCTGTAAACTGCGCTGGTGCGTAAGCTGGGAGGTGTGCCGGTGCGCGAGCTGTGAGCTGGCCCGGTGCGTAAGCTGGGAGGTGCGCCGGTGCGTGAGCTGTGAGCTGGCCCGGTGCGTAAGCTGTGAGGCGCGCCGGTGCGTGAGCTGTGAGCTGCGTACACTGGTGGCGGGCCGTGGGCGCCGCTGTATGGGATTTGTGCGTTAGTCACTGTGACGGCGCTGTCGTCGCAGATTCCTGCTTTCGGCTCAGTGACGGCCGTCGAGTCCAGTCTGAGCATCGCGCAGTACTCGGCCGGACAGGGCGCTGTTACCATCGGCGTGCTGGCCCCGTATGGCGAGCTGTACGTGGAGGCCTACGTCACTCACTCAATGCACGAGGTGAGTTGCATACCAGCCACGCGCCCGCCAGCGCGGGAGGAGGGCCTCTTGATGCCTGCAGTGGGGCGAGCTTAGCCAGACCTCTGTCGCGCTGTGATCGACGGTCGTAGGAATGTACTGTGACCGGTACGAAACGCCAAGCAGATGCCCTGGCGAGGGAAAGGCGAAGCCGACACACGATCACACTAAACCCCCCAGGAGTGCATGTGTGCGCTAGTGACGAGAGTCGAGAGCGCGAGGGCATAGAGCTCCCTCAGAACGCATCACAATAAATCTACCGCGACATCCGTTGTCAACTCTTGCCCACGAGCAGTCTCCGGTAGCTGAGGCTCTCCCAATCCGTCTTCCAGTCGCCCAATGTTCCCTGTGTCAGCTGCTGAAATGGGTTGACCTTCGGCAGGACGCTCTGAGTATCGGTGGCACGTTTGTCGAGCTGGGCTCCGCCTACGTAGGTGCACAACAGTTTAGCGCTGATAAGTACAAGGTGGCTCAGGTCCAGAGCAGGTCGGGCTTGATCACGCGCTTCAAGAGCGTCAACATTCCCTTCAGACAGACAGGAGATTGTGAGTATGACTCACCTCCCCACATCAGTCGGGTGGCGATGTCTGCGTGCTCTGGCCCTCACGACGTGTTGGTGGCGGCAGGTGTGACTTGATAAGATCATTTTCGTCGGTATTCAATCCTCGCACTGACATGGAGTCTAGGTACCCGCTCCATGAATTTTTGGGAATAGCTAGAGAACGGCCAGCGCGTCTCCTAAAGCATTTTATCCTACATCCGCGTATGCACACCCCGAACTTTTGAAGTTAAGGTCACGTCAGGTCAGTGACTCGGTATAGTTTGGTCAAAGTATGCGGCAACGCAATTGAACTGTGCTTTTCTGCAGTTTTCATAGTTTGTTCACCAAACGACGTCATTCCGTGACCTTCCATTAAAACACTGATATCTTAGAACCTTATCCATCTTGACTCTAGTTCCTTAGCTCATTTTCACCGAAGTTCATCATAGGTTAATAACCGAACTCGACCCGAACGATTGTAATTTGAAGCACGTTACCGTGGCCAACATCTGACGGTCCTATTCGACGTTTCACCCCATAATGTCACTTGCACACCTTTAAGTGGAAACGACAAACCGAACATGTCAGGATGATAACTCGACTGAGCTCGCTTCGTGTCTAGATTTACGTTGCACTTCTTTTTCGTTAACTTTTAGTTAAGTCCACTCCTCCGGTGAGCACTATGTTCGTACCCATATATGATGCTGTGACCTTAGGAAGATTAGCATGGATCACTGACCAAACTCGAAATTAAAGGTGAGGTTTTCTTCATAGTGATTCCGGAACCATCCAAAGCTCCTGTCAGTCAAAAGTGGCACACTTTGTGCTTAAAGAAAACAGCAAGTGACTTTGAAGATCAATTTTAGCAAGTGTCAAACATCCTGGGTAGCACGTTTTGTGTGCAAATAGTTCTTACAACATCTGAGAAGGGTACATCTATGCTGACAAGCCAAGAGGCGCCGTTTGGAGTAAGCTGATAAAGTACGGAAAAGTGAAATTTAAACCGATGAATCGTTGCCCCCTGACACAAAATTTTATTTATAAATTTTGTTAGGATTTGTAGGAGATATCACTAAGGGAGCTTTACCCAAATGCTCCCTGCTCCCTCTCCCTGCCAGGGTGAAGTCGATGCCAACCACTGTCAGTGCGAGGGTTAAGTGTGTCTAAGAGCTATGCCCTACGTTTTGTTCGCTCCGATGCGATTATTGTATCTGACGGCGTGTCACGATGCAACGAGACTGTCTTCAATGTCTTCAATGCTATATAGCGCAATCTCGTTTTGATGCGGAACCCCTCGCTTTCAGCCACTTCTGCCGCGACAGAACCATCCAGAGTAGCCAACGTCACCATTCCGGTGTTCGCCACTGAGCATGCGGCAGTGGGTGGGAAGGCCACTCTTGTGATCTTCGTCAAGGCCAAAGATACCCTATCAGACCGCTCTTTACCCGGCGGGGTGTCGACCGCGATCGCCATCGACGTGACAGAAGGCGCAGCGCCCACCGGCAGTGGCTCACTCAGTCTTGATGTGAGTGTTCATCAGACAGAGGGCGCAGCGCCCACCGGCAGTGGCTCACTCAGTCTTGATGTGAGTGTTCATCAGACAGAGGGCGCAGCGCCCACCGGCAGTGGCTCACTCAGTCTTGATGTGAGTGTTCATCAGACAGAGGGCGCAGCGCCCACCGGCAGTGGCTCACTCAGTCTTGATGTGAGTGTTCATCAGACAGAGGGCGCAGCGCCCACCGGCAGTGGCTCACTCAGTCTTGATGTGAGTGTTCATCAGACAGAGGGCGCAGCGCCCACCGGCAGTGGCTCACTCAGTCTTGATGTGAGTGTTCATCAGACAGAGGGCGCAGCGCCCACCGGCAGTGGCTCACTCAGTCTTGATGTGAGTGTTCATCAGACAGATAAGACAGTAGTATTAGCCTTATTCCTCGGAGAAAACCAGAAGAATGGAAATATAGTTGGGTTAATATTTCGGCAACATGCCTTCATCGAAACAATAGCAGAAGTCGAAATGTCGCAGAAGTCGTCATTTCGATGAAGGCATGTTGCCGTAGTACCAATCCAACTATACCTCCATTCTCCTGGTTTTCTCCGAGAAATAAGGCAAGAACTACTGTCTTATCTATAATGAATAATGCTCTTCGCTAATGCCCTGAACAACTTATGTAAGTGTTAACCAGCATGGTACATCCCAGTGGCTGCAGCGGCTCACTGGGTTTAAAGGTGTTTGTTGATGACGGAGCCCTGGACTGCTGACTTGCTGTGTCTGAAAGTATGTTGCCTATTGCTCAAAGTTGTAGTAAAAGTCAGTTAAAATCAGCTCAAATCACAATGTATCCCTCACCAGTCACAACACCACACACTTCCCGAACCATTGTATTTGTACTGCAGCAAGCGGGACGCTCCTTCGTATCGCGCATGCTCCTGGTTTTCTCCGTGGCGTTGAAAATTCTCCCGGTCCATAAAATCTACAGCATCTTCTCTACGTTGGAGAGGTCCTTCTCCACCAATAGAATGTCATGCATATCTACGCAGCAGTTACCACGCACGCAGAGCACCCAAGTCCCCATCATGCCTGTTTGCGCCACCGACAGAGTTCCTGGCACGAAGTGCACAGCTCCAGCACTGATGTCCCCGCCAAGAGCACCGTCGAGTACCTGGTGAAGGCGATGGCGCCGTCCGGTCCCAGCGTCGTGCCCAGCGCAGACATCAGCCTGGACACTACGAGCGTTACAGGTCAGGTGTGCGGCGGCCAGAGGCCCCCGGGTCCTGGTCAGCGCCGCCGGCCTCTGTAGGTGTGACCGGCGGCGTGCTGGCCTCTGTAGGGCGTGACCGGCGGCGTGCTGGCCTCTGTAGGGTGTGACCGGCGGCGTGCTGGCCTCTGTAGGGTGTGACCGGCGGCGCGCTGGCCTGGGCTTGTTGGCTTTGTGTTGATGGGTAAGCACCTGCACGCGCTGTATCGTACAGCGCTGTGATCGTGACCGGGGGCACCCCTCAAGACATGGCGCGCGATGCACGGCCAGCGGCGAGCCCGTCCGGCTAACAGGTCATGCTTCCTGGCGCGTCACGGTGGCGACGCAGTGCCTAGAAGCCCGTCGGGCAGGCCGCTCGCTAAGCACCGCTCGTCGCTGAGCGGCGAGCGCTGCGCCACATCCGCCGTCCTGCCGCTGACCGGCCCTGCTGCCCTTCAGGACTCCGCGCCTGCGACGTGGAGGTGTGGTCTCAGGGCGTCAACATCATCTACATGGAGACCTCGTCGGTCACACTGACTCCGGCTGATGGCGAGACCTCAGCCACCATCACCATCTCCAACCTCGTCATTGAGGAAATCGTGAGCGTCGCTCTGTGATTAATTTTTGGAAACTATTGTGTAGAAAAATGTGTACTGCAAAAACGCTGTCGTCCTCCCAGCGAAACTTGAAACTGCGGCATGCGCTGTGATAATGATGCAATGTGTCAAAGTATTTTCTTGGCACACACATTGTTCTTCATGGCGACAAATGCTCTTTTATCACATGGTATAGGTAAGACAGTAGTAATAGCTTTATTCGTCGAGGTTCAACCAGGAGAATGGACACCTTCACGTGTTCTGCTTTAGTTTTGAAAAAGACTTGTTGCCGAAATATTAACGCATCTATTTCTCCATTCTCCCGTTTTTTTACGAGGAATAGGGCCATCACTACCGCCTTATCTATTTGAACAATGTTCTTTGCAAATGCACTTAACAACTTACATGATATAACTGAATAGAGGCTCAGAGTTAATGACTTCTGTAGCTAAGCTAAATATACAGCTTCAAAGATGGCTTGATTCAGAAGGCGTTCAGCTTCAGTTGGGGTCGACGCCGTGGATCCGTGTAAGATTGGGCTTGTTCCCGGTACTCCACTGACGTTCAGCGAACCACCATTCCGAATCACCAGTCCGACCGCTGTTGTCGGCGCGCTGATTCTCGAGCCTTGAAGACGCTTCACGGTGCTCGGTAGCTCCCCTGCTCCTGCAATGCCGCTGGCGAGCCTCGCGGCGGTGCTGCTGGCCGTCGGCGCCGACGCCACTGACAGTCGTCTGTTGCAGACGACGGAAGCTGTCGGCTATGAGCTGGTGTTCCGTCTCTCGATGCGGGCCGACACCGACGGCGCCCCAGCAGCCAATCCTGGCGCTGTCAGTCTCGCAGCTGTTAACGTGACCGGGGTACGTGCCACCCAGCGGCGCTGGGCGGCTGGGATGCGTGACAGCCAGATAAGCCGCGTGTAACCGTGCGCGTGCCGAACAGTTGCGCCGTGCTGCCTTACTGCTAATGGAGCGTCGTTGCGGGCTAGGCGACACTGCTCTGACCCAATGCTGAACTCAAGATCGGCCGGGGCGGGGCAGGGCGGGAGGGGGCGTCCTGCACCACTTTGTGGTCACGAGGGCCTGGGTTAAACTTGTTGCCACTACGGATAAACAGCAACCCTACGACCTGGCCTTATGAGCGATCTTATGACCTGAGCACGAACGACATAACCAGCTGCTGTCACACCTGTTGTTGGCGTTTCTGTCGTGACCCACTGGCCACGGTGTCGTGCTGTGCGCTGGGTGACCCGTCTGCGCCATGACCCGCTGACCGTTGACGCAGACGGGGGCTGGCGCTCAGCCGACCGTGACCGTCAGCGCCTCCGCTCCGACGACCACCGTCAACATCGGCAGCCAGTTCGGCATCGACATGCTCATCGAATACCCGGGTACGTCGCGCGCTGCTTGCGCTCTCCTCGGCCGTCGTTTGGAAACTCTGTCTCTGTCTCCCGCTGAGGACGCTGTTCATGGTGCGTGACCTGACCAGGCAAGAGGTGTCGCGCTCGCAGAGCATCGCCCGGCCTCAAGTGCGAGCGGTGTGTGATGGTATCTGTTGCCTCGTGGCCGTCGACTGACAGGTGCTCTTCATTGCCACTGTGATCGTGATGAGGCATTGCCGGACGGAGTGACTGAGACGACACAACCCAGCCCGAGCAGGCGCTGGTCCTGTCCGAGCCTTGCACGCCATGGGCTTGGCGTCACGCGCCTGGCACACAGCGTGGCAGCGCAGTGCTGCTTTGTGTGAGGCTCCGGTCGCTCCTCCAGTGGATGATCTCGTCTCTGATACGGATGCCGACTTCGCCGTTGAGTTCACAAATGACCTCCGGCTGGGCTACGAGGTCAAGTTCTGTTCCGTCCACGTGGTGGCGGTCGGCAAGCACATTCCTTGTGCACGCGCCAAGCTCACCGACGGAGTGACGGTGTCATTCGGCAAAACGTGAGCTTTACATGCTACAGCTAGCTTTTTACAGCAGCCGTAGCATTATATTCTTGCCCGCATGGACCAGGGGTGTCATGAGAGATATGTTTAATACTTTGGATGGGCGGATGCCACTTCCGCTATGTTTCCTGTATCAAGGTGCGCATACTTGTTTTCAGAATAATGTATGGCACAGGTCACTGCCGTGTCCCCATCGTTAATGACCTATTAGAAACTTGTGCCTAGGTGTGATATCGTTTCGGCTAGGATTGAATCGGGTAAGGAAAGATGAGCCAAAACAGCTCTCAAGGATGGCTGAATCTGATGGCTGCAGACAGTGGTGCAGATATATGTGCGTGAGACCCAGGCCGACGCTTCGCTTCACCGGCTTCCGCAGAAACGGAATCTACACTGACTCATATTGTTTGTAAGCCGTGTCATGATTCGAATCAAGCTTGTTTTTTCATAGTGATTCGAACCAACCCAGCATGACTGACGCGGAAGCATATTCATGAAATAGTGTCTAAATAGAACTCCTGCTAAATATGAATCGGACCAAACAAAGTTCACCAACACAAATGCGTATAAGACACGTCACCAGAATCTCAGAATACTGACGTGCTTCAAAAATCTTAGCGATCCCGTGACTGAACTGCTGCGTTCTCGAACGGCCGAAAATCAGCATGCATTGCAGCACACCGCGCAAGACATTCTTCTGCTCCGACAGCCCTTCAGACGACTCCTTGACTTTCCGTGACATTCTACCCAGGGTTGCGAAGTGAATCGTTCGAAGCCCGGGTGGGAAACACACAACCTAGCTGTTGTTTCAGTGCGTCACTGCGCGGTGCGCGCCATCTGTTGACTAGTATAAACTCCAGCCCTGACTCTCACCGCCAACAGGAACGACAGCAGGGTTCATGAGGACGTAGCCATAACCTCGCTGCCGCTGACGTGCGCGTCAGCCCACCACAGTCAGCTGCCGCGGGACCGCCAGCTCAAAGTGCGCGGTGAGCCGCCGCCGTTTGTGTCACCCGCACGCGCCACGGAGCCATCGGCTTGGCGCGCTCAGTCCCAGCGCGGCGACGGGAGAGCTGCGTGGCGTGCCGGTGGGCCGTCGCCATTGTCTCACCAGCGTAAATTAGGATCCACCCGCAGTGGGATGCATTTTCATTTTCATTCCCGGTCATGTTCACGTCCGAGCAGATTGGGAAATTGGCTTAAAAGCTCGGTGCACGTTAAGACTACTCATGCCACCAGTCTTAACTTTCGTCTGAGTACTGATGGTTACCAACTTGCCATCAAATATCTACAGAATCCAGTTTACCATTTGTCATGAATAACAAAAAAATCACCTGTGTTCAAGTGCAGTAATGTGACTGGTTGCATGACCCCCGGCTTGTGTAGATGCACCTGGCGCAGCGTGCGCAGTAAACTGCGTACGCTTTGCCACTGCCATTGCCCATAACACGTAATGTTAATGACCTGCTTCTGTGATTGCAGCGGTGGCCCAGATCATGCCTGGCCAAACACTCGATGGTAAGCAGTTACTGGCGGCGAAACTGAGCCCCGAGCCATAGGCGGATACCAAGTGTCGTAAATGTTTCGGCGTACGCTAAATCCGCGCTCTCGCTTTAACAAGACCGTCGGATACATCGGAATGATATTATCGGAAGCGTGCGCTCGGAGGAGCAGGAAGGCAAGTGGGCGGCCGGCTTCCTGGCGGCCCACTTGACGCCTTGGCTTGCCTTTGCCCTTGCTTGTACCCACACTGGACACAAGCGAGGACCCCTACCACACGGTTGTCGTCTACGCGTGGCGAGGTATCACAGGGGAGCGCTCCCCTGTCGCCGTGAAGGAGCAATGCCTGTAGTGACGCCGGATTCGGTGAATCGGTCAGACCAGGCGTGGGTTGGCCCTTGCGCCCTCGCGTGCCGCCCGCTCATTGCGGTGTTCTGCCTGCTGCAGCCACTGATTTTAAGCCGGGGGCCGGGCTAGAGTTCGACTCGTCCACACTGTTCGCCGGCCTCGTGGACCTCACCATGGCCGACGTGATCACCGCCTACAGAAGCACCGACTCGGGCGACCCCGGGTTCGGACTGCCGTCCCCCGGCACGCTCACCTACGGCAAGGTGGGTAGGTGGAGACGGCAGGTGTCGGTGCACGCGCAGCCGTTGCTGGCAACGACCACGCCACCTCGTCGCGCAAGCGCGCGAGGTATTAGGACCACGTTACTAAAGGCCGTCGTCACTACCAGCTGAAAAGAAGTTGCAGTTGATTATGAAGTCTTGTGCTTCAACTCGACCATGCCAATGTTTTATCATCTTACCTCCATTCCTCATCACTACATGTCTCATGTCCAATGCGGTGCATGAAACCACACGGGACCTACTAAGGGCCGGCTCATGGTCTCAGCGTGTGCACCGTAGCCACTCTGCGGATGTGGCACGCAGATGGAAGCGAGCAGCAAGCTCCCCTGCCGCGGCCAGCGCAGCAGAACCAGTCGTATCACCACGCGCGCGCGACAGCGGGCTGGAGTGCTTGTCGTCTCACCAGCGGACCGCGTGTGCGCCTCCAGGTGCACCTGGTGGACATCGTCGTGTACATCCCGCCGGGCGGCTCCAGCCCCACCTGGAGCGTCACCGCTACATCGAACACGCCGGACACCTTCCGCGTGGACCGGCTGATTGTGCGCCGCATCGGCCGCAACTTTGGTTGCCTTGGCGACCGGCTGCTGAACGCCGACCAGCTGGCGGACGGCGAGACACCGGCGTCGTACCCGACGTTCGCGGTCGACAGCAGCGGCGAGCTGGGCTCCAGCTGCACCATCGACCTGGGGCCGGTCACCAACGTCGGTACGGTGACAGCCACTCACCAAGCACCCCTCCGTCGTCGAACGTTGGCGGCGAGCCGTTGCGCATCACGCGAGCACGAGATGGTGCGATTGGTGACGCATCCGTGTCCATACCTACGTCATCGTGTGAAGAAGTACGATAAATTCCTGTGAAATACAAATAGGTCGGGGTACATTTTAGGCACCAGGCCCACCACAATTTTGGCATATTTTACGTGCGCCAGCGAACAAACGCGCGGCGAGCGGCGAAACATCCACAAAGCTCATGCTCACCCCACGCTTCCGTTGACAGGCAGGGAAAAGCTCAGCTTGAATCGTCTGCGACGACACACGACTTCGCGGAAGACAATCACATCGTGGTGTCGGCGGCTGTTCAGGCGCTGCTTCCCGCCGATAGAGCGGTGCCGGCCGACGCTACCTTCGACCTCATCACGACCAGCAAGAAGGACGCCGCCACTGAGATCGGTTCCTCTATCACAAGTCAAATCTCCTTCAGCGGCACGTTCACGAGTGTGGGTACCGTCCATGGACATTTTGCTCCGTTTAACGCGGCTACCGCACTTGATAGTGTAACGTTCAGAACTTGTTATGGTGCCTCACCACGTACTGATGTCGTTCCCGCGCGTGCTCAGCGTGCTCGTCTTCATTTCGTTCGCCTCGCATTAGCACTATTACTCTCAAAAGAAAACTTCAGCAGCGAACTAGATCTCACGCGATGCGAATGCTCAAAAACTCCGTTCCTGTTGATTCTGGCCGTTCAGACGTGAGGGACGCAGTCAGAACTACTGACCACGAAGGTCAGCAGCTGGCAACCCGCCCACAGCCTATGTCCACGCCGGTGTCGCCTTTTTCACTCGCAGATCTATTCCCGGCATTGGGTTTATATTAGGTATTTTTGTGACGACCGTACCTAAGTTAATTTCCCGGCAATATCCAAACGCCTTAATCAAGGCATTTGACCACTTCAGCAGCACCACTGTGTCCTTGCCCTTGTTTGCCTTAATTATCCATGCATGCCTGACTCTTTATCCCTGCACTTGCCATTGCGCCAAAGGGCGTATCCAACGGCAAACCTTGAAAGAGTTAGGTGTAAGCCAAACCCGCCAGCCTGACCAAAACAGTGAGCGAGTCTGGGTGTTGGGAGCGGTCCCGGCCCCCTTGCTCGTTATCCTGAAGCCGTCCGTGTACGCCGCCGGGCTGTGTCAGGGTCAGGGAGCTGACTGAGCTCGTGCCGCCGTTCACAGGCCCTATCGGGGAGTGGTCTCAATATGGCACTCAATCCTCGTGACGGAGGCACAATCTACAGGTACGCTGCTAGTGTGGCATTGTCGGGTGACATTGTCTTTCCCCTGTCGGTAGTCGTTAGTTTGACTGTCGGCGGCGCTGGATATTTGTGCTTAGCCCAACACGATGCCAGGGATGGAGTACTTCCTACACATCCAGGCACCTTAGTAGCTGCATGCGTCGAAAATACTCGGTCGCTATCTATCAGAGACCCAAAAGCGAATGTACTCAGTCTGACCGCTCCCACTTCCCGATGTGACGACCGTCCATAGGAGGTGATCGGGGCGCAGACATCTGCACCACGTCCGTCCATTCCGTAGGATGTCGCCGGCTGCACCCAACGCACCGGCATTCGCTGACCACAGCTCAGTGGCCTAACGCCTGACCTTGCTCCGCCCTCAGATCAGTCCCGACAGTGGTCGATGTAATAATCGACATCCCTGTTGGATTTTACGGCACCTTGAAGGTAAGTGTTCGAAAGTGCTGCGTATGCGTGAGCTGATGAAGTACCGGGATGGGTCTGCGCAACCAGGGCGCCCCTGAAATACCACTGGGCGGGCGCTGTCCGCACTGTCTTACCGCGTATCGCTCGACGGTCACCCGTCTGTGATGTCACCTCTGCCTGAAACAAGAACTCACCTCATTTACTCTTTTGAACTTGACGTGCAGTGTTGTGAGGGTATACCCGGACCGGTCCGGGTCGACTCGGACATCTCTGCTGAGTTCTCAGTTACTTGGACGCGCTCCGTTACGCAGCGCGCTAGCCATGTGCTCCTCTCAGGGCACACCTCTCCCTCCCGGTTCTGCATCCCCCCCCCCCCGCCCGCTCAGCCAGCTGAGCGTCGTGTCTCCGTCGCCTGGCGCTGTGCCGCTGCCTCCCGGTGACGCTGGCCGCCGCTGTGTGACGTGCAGACGCTTGTGTTGCTGATCAGCCTGCTGGAGGCCTCCCGTGCAGGGCATCCCGTGATATGCTTTCGAGGAGCCTGAACACTCAATGCTAACTTGAGCTGTCCCCCTCCCAATGCTCCTCTGAGCTCCCCAATGTATATAAGGAAGGAGGGAATACTGGGACCAAATAAATACAGAACAATTATCTGAACTATTAGCATATTGGGTAGCCGGTATCTAAACACATCACTATTGGTATGATGGTGATTTTATACCTAAATAGTACCTTGAAGATACTTTATGTTTTTGTCACGCTAACTCCTTAGTACATTAAGCCACTGGAAATTTTCGACAAGTTGTTTTCAAATGATCACGCTTGGGTTGGGATAAAGAGCAGCTGACTGCAGTATGCGGCAGCTTTTAGAAGTACTGGACGGTCCAGACAAAAGTTAAGGAATGTTTTCCCCAAGAGTGGTAAGTGTATATTGCAAAATGGTGGCTGTAGTGGCTTTACGATTTGATGAGCGACAGCGAGAGTCATCAGTGCTGCTTTGCTAAGACATGCTGAGATGTTTTTTGGTGAATTGCACCCCATTCTAAGCTTTTCACGAAAAGCCAGCTTACATTAACTTGAATGGGAAGTCATTCATTAACCTTCAGGCCAAATTTTTCGACTGAGCACTTCCCCAACCGATCTTAGAGCGTGAGATGCGCGCTCCCGCGACGTGTGCTGCCCGGCCACAGGTGCAGTGCGTGCACCCGGCGGCTGACATGTGCTGCCCGGCCACAGGTGCAGCGCGTGCACCCGGCGGCTGACGTGTCCTCCTCGGCCACAGGTGCAGTGCGTGCACCCGGCGGCTGACGTGTCCTGCTCGGCCACAGGTGCAGTGCGTGCACCCGGCGGCTGACGTGTGCTGCCCGGCCACAGGTGCAGCGCGTGCACCCGGCGGCTGACGTGTCCTGCTCGGCCACAGGTGCAGTGCGTGCACCCGGCGGCTGACGTGTGCTGCCCGGCCACAGGTGCAGCGCGTGCACCCGGCGGCTGACGTGTGCTGCCCGGCCACAGGTGCAGTGCGTGCACCCGGCGGCCGACACCACCCAGTGGGCGGTGACGGGGGCGGCGGCGGTGCGCAGCGGAGCCAACGTGTTCGGCCTGTGGCCCAGTGAGGCTCGCCCCACCCTGTCTCACACCGTTATCGGGACGTGAGTAAGGGGAGGCAGCTGACTGGAACAGCTGCGGGCCTCGGAGGGCAGAGGTGGCCGATCGGCGCGGAGGAAGGAAACGATTCAACTGTTGTCAAACTTGGATTTTGCTGTTAACTGGTAAAATGGCTGTCATTGGAAGTGGAGTGCAAAGTGTGCGTTGTCAGCAGCATATTGTCGTTGATCATGTCACTGCATCATAGCCGGAGGCCAAACCAGCGTTTTGTGTATGATCATGTTCGAGGCCAATTCCCCTGCCCCCTCCCCCCCCCCCCCCGTCGGTTTGGGTCTCTTCACCGCACCGGCGTTAGAACGAGCGACGTCGAGGCAATGTGCTGGCGGGATCCGCCTATTCTTGCAGCGTCATCCGCTCTTCTAAGGTTCTCCCTCGCGAACTACTAAGACCGCTCGCTGCCGCCCGCAGCATGAACCTGTCCACGCAAGCCGACCTGACGCTGTACGACATCACGCGGCTCGAGTCGCTGCAGAACTCGAACGCAACCGACAATCAGCTGGTGGTGGCGTGCGTGGCCATGGTGCCCACGACGTCCGCGATGGCGCAGGGCGGTGCCGTCAGCATGGATGTTAAGCTATTGGACGGCGCCGACAACGAGCTCGCCGCGGAATCGACCACGCTCTCGCTGGACGACAACTACCAGGCCAGTGAGTGCCCGTGCCGTGACGCCGTGACGGCTGCGCTGACGTCAATGCAGAAGCGTCCGCGCGGTTGACCCGCGCACGCCGCGCAAGCAGCTGAGTTGCCAATACATTGGTCGGCAAATTGCAGGCTAGATGATTAAGCGGACGTTTGGCGGCTTCTGCGGAGGTCAGGACGGGACGCGTGACGTGACGGGCGGCCCGCTTCTGCCATTGGTTACTCGTCAGCTGCATGAGCGGCCCGAGCGAATAGCAGGCCGAGCGCGTGTCTGAAGCCGGCTGATGTTGTTCGCGATCGGACACACCGGACACGGACCCGGCCTACAGACCTGCCAGTGCCTGGCCGAGGCCGTCAGTAGGTTTTATGGCACGCAGATACTTACCGAGGACGCTCCGTTACAACTGCGCAAATCTTCTAGATCAGACCTCAGCTATTAGGATGCGCCCAACGATAGACTGAGGTAATCACGCTTAAAAGGAGTGTTCCACGTTTGGATGGGGTGTTGACCTGAAATAACCTATTTGAAGATCATTCGGTGCAGTTCGCAGGCCTACCTTCATAAGACCCAAGCCATTCTAGTTTCTGAGGCACACGCCGTGAAGATGTGAGGACAATTTCGGGGAGATTGTTTCAAGGTCATTGAGGCATCTGTGACGCCGTAAAAACGTAATTCAAATCCTAGTCTTGCATTTGTCATGCAGCGATCAAGGCAAAAAACACATGCGTCGAATCGTACATATCTGGCGTTGGTGAGCACGATTTCCAGACATAATGGCGATCAATTGGCTTTGAATCAATAGTGTGCAAATTACCATAATATAATCAAACAACGACGTATTGAGCAGTACATCTACTAAACAGATAAATTGTCCTGACTGAAATATTCTTTTTCACTGAAAAGTACATGAACAGTTGTAAGCGAGCTTATTTAATAAAATATGATGTTTGTTTCGGTTGAAAGAAGTTGTCTAACCTTGAACGACTCATTGTTCCTTACCGACCTCAGGGCACATGGCGTGGTGATTTGCTAACCGACCCTTTCATTCTTGACCATGAAAAAGGGAAAAGGCAGTTGATGCATTGTGGTGAAGTGCAGTAAAACGTCGCACCAGTCACCATGACTGAATTTTCCGTGATTCAGTTCAGGAGCATAAAGACGTCATTGTTCTGGATATTAACATATGTACCATGTGCCAGTTTGGATATATGTGATATGCCATGTTATAGCCGGCGTCTCAATGCAGAATAGCCAGAAATGATTGCATTGTCAATCCAAAATGATGATACCCTGCGTCTTGCGAGCTTGTCTGTATGCATGTGTTTTCCTGTGTGATGTATTTGTGGCTCCCGACGGTGGATAGCCTCTGGCTTCGGCCGTGCACAGAGGACGGTGCTAGGAGAGTTAGGACGCATTGCAGAACTAACGGCAAAGAGACGATAAGTGTTGGATGTGCGACTGCTGACAGCGGCACTAGCGTGCAGCCGGCATGGAAATATCGAATTCATAGCTGGCGAATCTAGTCCTTGTCGGATTGTGGAAATATGAGCTGTGCTGGTGCAGCGCACAGATTGTAGTACATATACCAGCCAACAGAGACGATATTCGAAGCAAAAAAAACGATAGCGGACAGGGGAAGTAAGCAGAGAGACAAAGCATGATGAGTAAACAATATCGGACAGTTGAAAGTTGTCGCTGTTCCAAACCAAGCAGCACTGACCATTTGTCCTCTGCAGAATCCGTGCATTTATGAAAGATTGATTACTTGAAAACTCCCAATTTTCAAATAATTCGCTCAAAAAATTAAAATAATTGCCTCAGTCAAACACCAAAACTAATACCTCATGCACGTGACCGTGCCGCAAAATTGTTTGGAAAAATTCCGACATTCGCTTGAAGGTCAACAATTTACAGCCCTCGAACTCCGCTACACGGGCTCAAGCTCTTGTGTCATATTGCTATGAACGCGTGCAGCTGTACACCCGGTCTCAATGTCACAATGTCGGACAGCGGTCCTCTCGTTCTAGCTGCTCCGAAAATAGCCATCAACAAGACGATCGAGCTGAATGCCACGATGCCAACGCCGTCGGCCAGCATCGGCGAGTACGTCTGGGTGCCGTTCCGACTCATCATCCCACCCGGAGTGCACGAGGCCGAGGTACGGAGTGGACGAGGCCGAGGTACGGCTCTGGTCAGCAACTGGTTCACCTGCACCGCAGCCACGGCCTGGGCGCTGGGAAAGTTGGAAGTTGACAGTTGTGCCTAGCTCTTTGCGGTGGGATGCGGCTTTTTGCTTTGGTCATCCCTTTTATAGGTGTACGTTGATGGCAGCCCAAATGCGAGCCTGGCACTGGACGCAGCTACGTTGGGTGATTGGCCCCATACTGCACGTTGCGAGTCGTTCCAACGTTACAGTAACTGAGGGTTTGCGGCGGGTCTTGGCTATGGCGTGTGCTCACTGCTGCCCTCTGTGTCCAGATGGTGGTGGCTACACCCAGCGACCCCACGCGAGCATACTTCACTGTACACGGCATCCGCTACGGCGAGAAGATTGGCTTGGACGTGTTGGGCGCGCCTGTGCTCACTGAGGATATCCTCAACTTCACCATGACCAACACCAACATCACGCACCCGACGCAGTACGATACGCTGCTGGTCAACCTGGGCTTCGTGACCAACCTGGGTACGACTAACGGCAAATCCGACCGAGACATAGTAGGAAGTGTCAAATGTGGTATGGATGGAGAGATGGGTGCTGCGAAACAAGGGTGAGCACGGGCAAGGTAAAGTATCGATGAACTAATTATGAAAAACCAAAGCAAGCAAAAGCGGTGTTATGCTCATCAAGATGCAGTTTACAGCTAGGCGAGGCGCATCGTATATTCTCGGACGGACCAGACTGCCCTAAGATTTGGGATTTTGAGCATTAAGCCTGTGTGAAAATGAGCTGAAGATCATTCTTACCCTCATCGCTCCCCTCAACAATTTGTGGAGCACGTGGCGTCTGGTGGACAGTGCCTACCTATGCCGGTAGGCCTCAGCGGTGAGTTGTTCCGAGGCAAGGGCGGCGAGACGGAGTGGGGCGTCGACGTCGAAGTCGAGCTGCGCATCACGGACCACCCCCTGCTCCGCACCACCCCCACCCATCCGGTGCACATCGGGCTGCGGGTGAGAGTCGCGAGATCGTGGCTACAGGCAGATGATGGCCGAGGCGCGGCCAGAGCAGGCGGCGCCGTTTGTGATGGTTCGTTCTCGGCGCTCTTTGTTCGCTCGCGCTCAACAGGCGGCACAAGCTCTACGGGCGCAGCAGTTCATGGTCTTGTTCATGCCGGTGTACTTGCCTGTCGAACAAGGCACCACAGAGACTCAAAAAGCGCAGCATATAATCCTCTGACGCCTGCCTGGCTCTGCGATTCCTTGCAGATACTGCTGCGCATGCCTGCTGAATGGAAACCTCAGCAGACTCTGCCCTATCAGCTGAAGCACCGTGTTTGCTGGCCGCCTAGAAGCTTTTGTCGGGTGTCCAATGTGCACTATGCCCTCAGCTCGGAGACACCATCATGGTGGACAAGCAGGACGTCACCGCCACGGTGCTCGGCACGGAAAAGATCGAACTGGAAACCGAGCTCGTGCTGGCTGACCCGCTCAAGAAGCAGTACGACAAGGAGTTGTAAGTCAAGCTGTCATCAAAACTCCTCGGGGAACGGACATGCTCCGACTCGCTTGCGGCGGGACGCAGCTGGCTGAGTCTCCTAGTGGTCCCAAGTGACAATGCCAGTTGAAGCGTCGTTTTATCTGGTTCCGGTGTCAGTATTGGTTGATCGCGGCACATATTTTGACGCGTAACTGTAGTCGCTGCCCTGCTGTTTTCCTGTGTTAGATTATAATTTCAGCTATGGATCGATCACGTTGTAGCTCAAAAGTTAACCAGAACGGAGGACACCTCGATTTTGGAAAAATGAAGGGTCGAAATTGGACGGCAAATACTAATTTGATCCATAGACGTTGTTACAATGTTTTCATTTGGCCTCGAAAGACGCTACCACCGGGACAATCTAAGCCCAGCCTTTTACCAGGGCGCTGGCACTGTTCCTGGTCATTGCGGCTAGCTTACACCATAGACAAACAGCCAATTGAAGGGAGCCTTACCGTGGCGTCAGGCTGTACGATGCTGTGATGTGCAAACCAGATGCGATCTAGCCAAAACTTTGGAGATTAGCATAAAAACACAAGACAAACTATTTAACACAAATGATGAGTTCTTAGCATGGAATGTCGCATGATCAGCTCTCCAAAGACAGGTCGGAGCAGATGGCGGTCAGGCGCATCGGCTGCTCTCAGCTCGGTGGCCAGAACAGTTAGTAAGGTGGCAGTGAGTCAAATGCTGTCGCTGGGGAAGGTCACGATCACCGGCAACCACCGACAGCGAGACACTTCGTCGGTGTCGCCTGCCGACCGTCGGCGAAAGACGGCGTCCTCATCCTTGGCCATCCTGGCCTCGCCCGCGACCAGCAAGGACTGGAATGTATCCAAGAAGCTGAAATGTCCCTGATCATCACCATCCAACCGTAACTCCCCACCTCGGGCCGCAAGAGGCTAGAGAGCAGCTCTGTACCTGGCCATACCATATGACCATACGACCATCCCCGCTCTTTGCCGCAGGGACGAGAAAGTGGGCTTCTCCCTGATAATGCGGCACAGCAACACGTCCAGGCTGGAGGGCGAGGACACTCGCGCCGTGGTCATCTTCCCGCCCTACATGACCTACGAGAACGGCTCGGCCGAGCACAACGCCTCGTCCCTCACCGTGCTCTTCAAGGGCTCCAGCGTCGCACTGGTGGTACGTTTCCGGTAGCTTATTTTGACATATCAAAGCAGCGCTTTGATCGTGACACGTTTCACTTATGTAAGTTGTTCAGTGCATTAGCGGGGAACATTATGCACATGAATAAGATAGCAGTGTTTGCGTAATTCCTCGGAGAAAAACCAAGAAAATGGAGACATAGTTGGGTTGATATTTCAGCAACATGCCTTTATCGAGAC